TTGTTACGAGCTCGATCGATTATCTCGCTCTAATCGACATTACCTTATCTAACGAATCTCGTTATTGGCACGTACACTGTTGTTTTTTGGACCGCTGTTATAATCAAAAACTTGTAATCGAAAATTTAAAAACGCGATGGTACGTCAAGTCGATTTCTGCTCTCCACTGCACTCATGCTGCGAAAATAACTGCAACTCTGGCGCGCACAGCTTCCGTCGGATAAATCTGTTTCGCGGTAATAGACATGCCTTCTTACTTTTAACAACATCGACAGTGACATTGATTCGTGCGTTTCATTTTTCACCGATATCACGATTTCAAGTACGCAACTTGAGAGAAAGAGAATAATCGGTAAGTAATTACTTAAGGAAAAAGGCGTTTATCTGTAAATACGGATTAAAATTCAATATTTTTTCTTGAATTTTGATTTTTCGCGTTTCGTATCATCGGCTGCCTGCTTCATCATTCTATATCCTCGAATATACTCTTTTAGCTTCTCGGCAATCGGCCAACAAACCATTTTCTCTCGTACGCATATACGCGTATATCTTCCGTTTTACCATCTAACAGATTAACAATAATCGTGAAATTCTTGCTTGCATATCTTAATAACTTAATAACGATTACGTACATCGACTTGCGTTTGACAAGATATCGATCGAAAATTCATAAACAATCGCAAAATTGTATTAAAGTGTATATTAGAAAAACACACAAACACGTAATAAATGTTCGAATTGAAAATCAAGTACAGTGCCCTTTGTTCGATAAAATATACGATACATCGTCAATTTCATTGATCCGATTCTCATATCTTTCTCGAGAATACAATATACGAAACGGTTTATATAATAAGTTTAATCTAATAATTATAGAATAAGAAACTGTTATACAGCTTGTAAAGTTGTCGTGCCAAGATTAGAAAAAGGTGCGCTAATGAGTTATACTCGTTTATGTAGGACGATTAATTACAGCGTCGAGGGACGCTTTTGTGCGTAATTGGAATTGGTTGAGCTCATTTGTAAGTGGAAGGAAAAAGGAGATAATCAAGCATGCACTTTTTAATCGATTAACTTTATAACTTAAAGCGATTATCGAAGTGAACAGGATCGAAGATTTTTGGCAGTATCGCGTATTGTATAAAAAAATGAGATCGAGTCACGTTGTAGTAACGACTGTTGATAGATAACAAATTACTTCTGTATATAATTGATAAATAATCGAGACAAATTGAACGAATAGTGTTAAATGTGGTCCCGTCAGTCTCTTATCTTCTGTACGAGAATCTGAATGGTATCACATATACCTATCCTATATTGATATTAGACGTATTGGCGATTTTTTAGTTTCGTGACTTCAACGATCTCAACATCAAATAAAACATAATATTTAAATACATTTCCCAGAATTTAACGAAATTAAATTCCATGCCTTGAAATTGAAAGATATGAATAGATAAAGTAGATATCTAGATATATATATATATACATCATAGATAAATAATATATTTAATATATTTAGATAAATGAAGCGAGAGAGAGAGAGAGAGAGAGAGAGAGAGAGATTCAAAGATCAATTTTTAAAACAGAAAACAATAGTGCGTTTCGTTGGATTGATTATAGAAGAATTTTATGAATTGAATGTTTTACCGCGATTCATAATATATATTAGCGCGTTAACACGATCGATTTCAAGGTAATAACGTGATCGAATACGTATGAATTAATAACGAGTACAAGAATAAGCACTATATGCGTAATACGATAGCAAATGTAAGTATTTCACGAGTATTTCACGAGTGATCAGTCCAGTGATTTAGATCTGTCTAATCGATATTTACTTTCAAGATCAGAATTTGTACTAGTGTTTACGGGACGAGAAAGAGATTGTTCAAATTTTTGGATATTCTCCACGGACAAAGACGCGTTGTCGGAAACAAAACATTTTAATATCACATTATTGGATGGATTTGATTGAAAAGAACTCGCACTAACGTTAGCTCTTCCTTCTAAAGAACTTACGTTATGAGATATATCGATAGACGCTGGCTCTGTATTAATAAGTCCATCGCAAGAATGGGGCAAAATTTTCGAGAAAGCCCTTTGAACGGAATATTTGTCTAATCTTTCTTTATCAGCGTATCTGCCGGTTATTTTTAAAGAACCACCATAAATACGACGATCATTCGTTAATTCTGAATCGAAACTTTCCAACCAATTCTCGATCGACTTCGAATCATTCGAACTACTTCCTTCGATTTTAAAGAGAGAAGAGAAACTTGTCCCTATTGCCGATTCATGTTCTTCTTCTTCTCCCAGATTTTTTTCTTTCATTCTTTCATTCGCATTCCTTTTTATTTGATTATCGTGCACTTTGGAAATTGAACGATCATCCGACTCCCAAACTTCTTGTTCTCTACTACTACCTGCTGTACATTCTACCATTGTATACCTTTCGGTATTCGTCACTCGATAACTTTGATTCTCTGCATTCGAGGTATTTGATTTGTCTAACGGATATGGAACACAATTCATGGAACTAGTTTGATATATATGGCTAAAGGTATCTCTAGGAACGAATTGTTGTTCTCGATAGACGAAAGGAAGACATACGTTTTGCCTAATCGTTCCGTCTGTGACCGAGCAATATTGAGGAAAATGCACAAACGGGATACCTTCTCGGCGTTCAAGTTGCCGAGAACTCGTATCACCATTCGAGTATTGCGTATTTTGATCCAAAGTGTTATTCAATCCTGTAGAGAGGTTGCACGTATATGAGAAACATTGGGATACATTTGAATTCGTTGCGTTTGGCGCAACGCTTGATGATCGGGCATTCGTTGATTCTGGCGAAGCCGGATTAGATACTTTACCACGTGTTTGAGCCATCACGGTTTCGTAACTTGGAGGTGGTCCATATAATTGATAATATGGACAATTCGCATCATTTAACATAACGCTCATGTTCTGGTAATGAGTCGATGTTGTTGCGTTGTTGCTGGTGTAAGTGGGTATCGCTCCATTTCTTTGTGGGCCTAACAATACAAATAAATTGATCAACATTGAATAAGTCGTAATTGTTTAATTGTCACGAGTATACACTCGCCTTTCCACATACGATGCAACAAAACGGTATTCCTTGCTGAATTATACGTTATACGAGCTCTCTGCCCTTGACACATCGTTCCACCCCGAAGAGAACTCTGAGCTCGCGAATTGGAAACTCTAGTTGGAATAGCAGATGCAGCTGCTCTATATCTTCCTTGTAACCAATATCGATACCACCATCCACCACCGGAGCATACCAGGAACATAATTATAACCAATATCCTATGATAAAATTGTAAAAAAAGTTACATTACAAATTTTATTTTTCATGCAAACAGATATATCTGAATAATTTTGTAAACTGTTTTGCGCACCAATAATACCATAAATGATGAAAATGTAATCCAGGTGATACGCAACAACCAATACCGCAACAATATTCGGTTCTAGGACACCTAAAAGATATATGTAAATATATAATTATATATTTTCGCTTTGATACATTTTCTATACTTCATTTTTATCTTTCTTTTTTTCTCTTCATGCTCCTTTTTCTCCTCTTCCTGCCCTTCTCTTTCTTTTCTTCTTTCTTTCCATTTTTTCCTTAATTGTTATCATTTTTTTTTTAATTATTTTAATTTAAAAAATTTTACTATTTAAGAGAAAAAAAAAAACTTTCCTATTCTCTTTACTGTTATAAGATAAATATATTTAGATAAAACTCACTCGTAATATTTTATTTCTCCAGGCATTTCAGAGGCACAATACTTTGCTTCTGCCTAAAACAAATTATTTTTTTAAATTTTAAATAATGCATAAATAAATATTATATATTATATATTGTATACAATTATATAAAAAGGATAAAAGAGAGAGATTAAATTAAATTAAATATAATTTAGAAATTGATCTTAATATGAGTTAAATACGATCATTTTTAAGTAAAAAAAAAAATATTTGGTAAATTCAATTAAAGAAAAAAATCGCATAGTTTATATTAAAAAATAATTAAGACTTTTGTAATTTATTTTAAAAAGAAGTTTTTGTAAATTTAAAATATAAAGTATAACTTCTAAAGAATAACTTTGATATTTTTGAATAAACAATATCGAAACAAATATACTAAAATTGAAAAAAATTACTCACATATATTAAACATTTTGATGTTCCAGCGAATATCGCCAATTTTTTCTTCGTGTTTCGGGCCATCTTCTAATAAAATATTTACACTCTCGTACTTAACAAATAAAAACGATGCGCTCTGCCAAATTGTTTTGATATAATCACCATTTCGCTTCGACTATCATGTGCACACAACATTGCACACCGTTTATTGATTTCAATTTCGGAACTTTACAATGACGTCATCAAACACAGGATTGCCAATATAAGTAAACTGAATTGTAATAAATAAATTAGTACAAACTAAAGTATTATTCAACAAATACAACATATTGCATAACTTAAAAATTTTAATTCGATCTAATCATCGTAGTATTATCGTATATTATAAATCATCAACGTAGTTTTATTTTTTTAATGGCAAAATTTATATGCTCATTCTTTTCTTAATTAAATCTCATTAAAAAAAAAAATTTTGTATTGTTATAAATAATATTTTTTTTTCGAAAATATTTATTCTATTAATTATATTATTTTTATTTATCATATAATTATTTATTGTTTTATTATGCATAATAAAATAATTTTTGATATCAAAGCATGGGTATTTCTTAATATTATCGGAAATTATTAATAATAATGGGTTGAGAAAAATATAATATAGAATATATAAGTATAATGTTTATTGGAATATAATTTTTGTTGTTTTTATTTATACAACGCAATCTTCTACTTTTGATTCTTTAATCATTACAATATTTACCTTATCTTCCCATTCTCTTTCTTTAAATTCTTTTTGAGTTAAAATATATATAATTTTAAAATATTTTTTTAGAAAAGACATATAAATTCGCCGAGAGATGCAATAAAAACAAATACAACAGAACGTCATAATGATAATTATCCCAAAAATAATCCTGTTAATGTGAAATTGTCAATATTATTATTTATATGTGATATTAAATTGAAGAAATATTAAACGTACGTTACGAGTAACATATTAAAATCAGTTTCATCGCAGCAAACATTATCACCGCAACAATATTGCCATGAATCACATAAACCCCAAATACAATAATATGATGAACTCTGAAAGAATATTTTATGATACGAATATAAATTTACATTTGCAAAATATTAAAAAAATATACAATAATTATTATTTTTCTCTCTCTTTTTTTTTAGTAAAATATTTAAAAGATATTTTACAGATATAAATAGATAAAATTACCATTGAGAGAAAAGTAAAAGTGAAAAAATAAATTGAAATATTCTACATAATGGATGAACGTCAAAACGTAAGCATGAACTACAAAATATTAGATAGATGTACTATCAAAAGAAATTAAAGATTGTCTTCAATAATCGAAATTTCAATTGTTGATTAAGAAAACAAAATAAAATAAAAATATGACTTAATATGATATTTGTATGATCGAATAAATTTGATTAATTAGCGAAAGGAAACACATGTTATAATTATAAAAATATACGCTTGTTTTCAATAATATTTGATTTTCGTAATCGTTCAAAATTTCATTGTACGTATACTCATCATTATATCGAAGTTCATCAATTGCATATATTCTATATCGTAATATATATAAATATTAATCTAAACTATATTAATTTTGTACATAACAAATCTATAAAAATGGCGATGTGTCCGCGTACAAAGCAAAAAGTTGCTATTATTTTGGATGTGAGCAAAGCTATATTTCATTGGGGATTTATTCCCGCTATATTATTCTTAGGTTAGTTTTTTCTTATAACTTTTTTTTATTTAACAATTATAAATAATTCATATACAACAATATTATATTATAATAAAATTAATCCATTATATGTAAATCAATTCATTAATTTGTTTTACAATTAATTTATTGTTACAGGCTTTAGGAAAGGTGCTGATCCAGGCATGCCTCAATTATCAATTATAAAGTAAGTTTTTATATGAATTTAGCATTGCATAAAATAATAGTTTATTCCTAAATCATAAAATTATACATGGATAATTTTGTATTTCAGCTTATTGTGGCAATAAAAAAATTTAATCTGCAACATTACTTCATCTTATTTTTCATCAAGATATTTCCTTTATTTGATCAATTATTATATTCCTTTTATCTATTAAATTCAATGTATATTTACTTATATAAATATTAAAATTAT